AAGCCGTCCCTATCCACTGGCCGCCCATAGTGCGTTCCATCAGCCAATGGCCTCAAGAGTACTCACATGCCATTGGCTGGGTGATGGGTCTGCTCCTCTTCCCCGCCCATTCCCACTTCAGCCACTGTTCCCTGTCAGAATATCTCTCTCCTGAGGAAAACACTTCGCCTGCTTGGCTCCTCTGTGGGACTAACTTTTCCCTCAATGGTTGTTCGTAGGCAACCAAGGTTGGTTCTGTCAGTAAAAGGCCTTTTCTACACCTATTTTGGCCTTTGGGAGAAAACTCACTGGGGCCAGTCCTGACTAGGGTTGCCAGCTCTAGGTAAGGAGATTCCTGGAGATTTTCTGGTAGAGTCCATGGAAGCCAGGGTTTGGGGAGGGGCCTCAGCTGAACAGAATGCCATAGAGTCCACCCTTCAAAGCAGTTATTTTCTCCAGGGGGGAGAGATCTGTTGTCTGGAGTTCAGTTGGGATACCTGGTGATCTTCAGGCTCCACCTGGAGGTTGGCTACCCTAGGCGTAGCAGTCAGCGCTTCAGAGCAGGGTCTTGCTTTGGAAGTGGACTGGGTGATTTTTGACCAGTCACAGACTTTCAGCCTAACCTACCTCACAGGGTTGTCATGCAAGTCGAAAGGGGGAGAGGAGAATGATGTAAGCTGCTTTGGTCCCCATTGCAGAGAAAGACTTCTTTTCCTCCTGGGAAACCATTGTTGCCAATCTCCAGGTGAGGGCTGGAGATCACTCAGAAACTGCTCTCCAGATGGCAGAGATCAGTTCCCCTGGAGAAAATGGTGGACTCTGTGTCCTTATACACTGCCGAAATGGCCCCCCTATGACAGCTAATGTGACGTGGCAGTCACGGCTTCAGAGCACGGTTTAGGCTGCAGGTGGGAGGGAGATGGAAAGCTGAAGAGTGAGGGGGAAATAAAAGTAGGCTGATGATTGGCTGGGAAGGAGACAGGGTTGCCAACTCCAGATGGGAAATTCCTGGAGATTTAAGGGATAGAGCCTGGAGAGGGTGAGGTTTGAGGAGGAATGGGACCTCAGACAGATACAATGCCATAGACTCCACTCTCCAAACCAGTCATTCCCTCCTGGGGAACCACTGTTGCCAATCTCCAGGTGAAGGCTGGAGATCGCTCAGAATTACAACTGCTCTCCAGGAGGGGGGGATGGAAAGCTGAAATCAGAGGGGCAGATAAAGACAGGGGGTTGATGATTGGCTGGGAAGGAGATAGGGTTGCAAAGTCCAGTTTGGGAAATTCCTGGAGATTTGAGGGGTGGAACCTCAGATAGGTACAATACCATAGACTTCACCCTCCAAACCAGCCATTCCCTCCTGGGGAACTATTGTTGCCAATCTCCAGGTGGGGGCTGGAGATCACTTAGAATTACAACTGCTCTTTAGGTAGCAGAGATCAGTTCATCTGGAGAAAATGGTGGACTCTGTGTCATTATACCCTGCTGAGGTCACCACGGCAAATTGACGCTGAGTGCCCAAGGTCTTGACACTCTCCCAGAGTCACTTTCTAGAGCTCGTTGTATTTATTTCCACAATAAGCCTTATTCCTAGTATGTACATGTTTTAGTAGAGTAAGGACTGTATTGAGTACAAAACTGTTTGAAGTCCCAACAGTGGGAAAATAGGTAAAACATGGAAAATATGAAACTGTTGTATACTGTGTCAGACATTTTACTCAGTGTATGTACTCTGATGAAAAACAGCTCTCCAGGGTTTTAGGCAGAGGAACGTCTTTTCCCAAATCTGCTAACTAAGATCATTTAACTGGAGATGCTGAGAGCTGACCCAGGGAAGTCTTGCACACAAGGCAGGTGCTCTACCGCTGAGCTACAGCCCTTCCCCTGTGATAATCTGTTTTGACCATCATTTTCCTAACATTTCAGTTGTGTGTACCTGTTAAGTGATGTCAAGTCACTTCTGATCTATGATGACACTGTGAATTAACAACCTCCAAAATGTACTATCCTTAACAGCCTTGCTCAGGTCTTTTGCAAACTGCGGGCTGTGGCTTCCTTTACTGAGTCATCCATCTCATATTAGGTCTTCAATCTTGCTGCCTTCAACATTGCCTAGCAGTATTGTCTTTTCCAGTGATTCTTGTCTTCTTATAATGTGATCAAAGCACAATAGCCTCAATTTGGTTATTTTTGTTTCTAGGTAGAGTTCAGGCTTGAGTTTATCTAGAACCCACTTATTTGTCTTTTTGGTGGTCCATGTTATCTGCAAAACTCTCATCCAATGCCACACTTCAAATGAATCAACTTTCTTCCTGTCAGCTTTCTTCATTGTCCAGTTTTCACACCCATACATAGTAATGGGGAACACTGTGGCACAAGTTATCTTCATCTTGGTCCCCAGTGGACATATTCTTACACTTAAGAATCTTTTCTATGTCCTTCATGACTGCCCTTAACATTTCAGCTGAGAGGGCTGAATTCAGTACATTGAACATTTAATTGCTATGTAGGTTTCCATTACAACTGTCTCAAACTTATTTTCAGGAGTTTTTAATTCAACCACAAGAAGTGGTTGCAGAATGAGGCCAGGTGGAAACAAATTACAGCTTGGGAGAACTTTTGTTTAAAATCAAATTTTAATTTTAAAAAGGTCTGACCTTTTAAAGCAATAAAATCATATTTCAAGGAAAAAGTAGTTAGTGGTTTCACATATGTGGTAGGTTTTTGATATGCCATCAACACTGGTTTTAAAATTGGTAATTATGTGTGTAGTAAAGGTACTCTACGGCCATTTATTACAGTGGGTTATATAAATAGCTCCCAACATGGGGAAAATGAATCATATCTGTTCAGAAACTAGTGTTTGGAGCCTCTCCTTGTATCACTTTGTGGCACATTTTCCTCAGCTCCAGGAAAGCCTTGGATGTTGGTTCCTTAATAATTATCCAGACACCAAGTAAATGAGCTCTCATTTAAGATAAAGGAACTACTGTTTTGTGTGCTGACTGCCATTTAAAGAAAACCAAAATCAGAATAAAATAAATTTAAACCAGAGTGGAGCCTTGGCATCAATCTCCACATCACTTTTGTATGAAGTGGAGTAGGCCGAAAGTTCATACTTATTACTATGATTTTGTATTATTCTGATAGTGGTGGAAGTCCTAAAATATGGATTTTTCTGAGAACAACAGAGGGCCAAACTAGGTGACACATTAGAGATCTGCAAATCAGATGCCTTGCCCCATCACACTTTTTCTAAACAGCAACCATATCAGTGGATCAGGACTGTGTGCTGGGTAGGGCTGCCAAGTCTCGTTGAATCGCGGCGGGGGATCGTCATTTTTCACAGGAGCTCGGCCGCGGGGGACGGCAACAGGCGTTGCACCGCCGTCGCCAGGATGTGACGCTATGCGTCGCTCTGGCAACGGGACTCCAAACAGCCCCATTGCCAGAGCGACGCATAGCGTCACATCCTGGCGACGGCGGTGCAACGCCTGTTGCCATCCCCCGCGGCAGAGCTCCTGTGAAGAATGACGATCCCCTGCCGCGATTCAACGAGACTTGGCAGCCCTAGTGCTGGGTAAGAGAGGAGAGGAGTTAATCATTTGCATAAACCCTTTTACTGGTGTTAATTGCATTTTAGTGGTGACACTATTCACCTGGTAGAGATAAGAGGCTGCAAACCTTAGTTCTGAACAGACCTGCTTAGGATTGCTTCCACAATAATGCCTTCTGTATTATTACACTGTTAACATATGTTTACCTGTAGTATGAATTGTTATGCTTTCAAACAGGTTTGAATAAGCTATCTCAGGAAGATTATGGAAACTGAGAGATATAAATCTTACAAATAAATAAATGAATAATGTATAGGTAGATCTTTAGGTAAATCTTTAATTCTTTTCAATTTGTCATTAACCTTTTTTTGTATTTATTATTTATTTATTTATTTTATTTCATTTATACCCCGCCCTCCATGCACGCGGGCTCAGGGCGGCTTACACAGGCACAAAAGTGCGATAAAAATGCAACAAGTTAAAACAATTAAGGCACAAGTGCAGTAAAAGTCAACAGTTAAAACAGTTTAGGCAAAAATGCACATCTCACAGGATACATAATGACTACAATACTTACTCCCTATTGCATATCCCAATGGGGTCAAAAAAGGGGGGGGATGCCATGGGCCACGATATTTCAGCTGGCCAGTCAGCCCGACGCAGTGGAACTGCTCTGCAGTTGCACGGTGGTGGTAGTGGCGGCGGCTCCTACTCAAAAGCCTGGCGGAAGAGCTCCGTCTTGCAGGCCCTGTGGAACTGCACCAGGTCCCACAGGGCCCTGATCTCCTCCGGGAGCTCATTCCACCAGGTAGGAGCCGCCACCGAAAAGGACGGCTCCTACCTTGTAGTTACTGTTTATTGTGTTAACCTGTTTTTTTGGGGGGGTTATATGTGCATGTGAGTGTGTGTGCACCTGGAAGTCATGGTGACCTCTGGGAGCCTGGAGAATATTCAGAGAGGTGGGTGAATAAAGCCTGCCCCTGCCTCCCACCTTTGGTATTTCAAGGAGGTCTCCCATCCAAGTACTTGCCAAAGTTGACCCTGCTTAGCTTCCGAGATCTGATGCGATCAGGCTTGCCTGGGCTATCCAGGTCAGGGTAGTATTGTGTTAACCTCTTAAATTGACAGAATATCTGTGAATTTACCATTAACATTAATTAAGGTTACTAGTTTCTTATTAACCTTTCATATTCTTTTGATTGCTTTTATTGTCTCTTATTGCTTTGCTTTGATTAGTTTCTGAACTAAGTGTATGAAAAGTATATGTTATCCTCTCATAAATTTTAAAGGGAGATAGAATGGAAGCTGAGCAGGGAGTTGGGCTTGCTGAACTCACCACCATTACTGCATAAATTGTATTAAACTCAACATATTGCTTCCCAGGTTTTCCCAGAATCCTTGAAAAAAAGACTACTTTCTAGATCAGTCACGAAATTTGCAAGCTGTACATCTATGGTTCCTTACCTCTGTGCAATATGATACGATTCTGGGTGGATACACGTCTGATCCAAAGGATTTGGCTGTTGAACAATGTTGGCTTCCACTTTACTTTTCTTCTTCCCTGGCTTTTTACTTGTGACTGCTTTATGACCTCCAGCCACAAGCTCTCCCTGTTGACTGACATCCAAAATCACACACATATATACATATATATGAGAAGGAGAGAGACACAGCTGTAATTAAAAGAATGTCCTGAAATATATATTTTCCCTTCATCTCAAAGAAGAGAGCTAATACATGGGCAGTTTGTTCCCCCTGAGTTTAAACATAAGAATTCTATACCTACTGCATCTTAAATGTTAAAGAAACAGAGTTTTGATTAAAAGTAATGTCATAAAAATCTGAAAAGTCTGCCCTTTGTGAATTTCAACAGCCAAGTTGGATTCAATGACTCCCATTACCTCTTCTTTTGAGAAGGTCTTCTGTCATCAGAGGAAGTCTTCCTGGATGAGAGTCACTGAATCTAACTCATGGTCACTGTCATGTTTATCTCATTTGTGAAAGGTCTCAGGAGCAAAACTGTGCTGAAGCAGACCTTGGGAGGAGGGCTCTTAGCTCAGTGATGGAGCACTGCTTACGTACAATGTCAGGGTCATTACAATGGCTTCAGTGAGCAGGCTAGGTAGCTCTTAGAGAACCACTGCCAGCCAGCAAGCACCACAATGGCTCAGTGTAAGACACGTTCATTGCACATACTTGGCAGTACGCCCTGTTCTGCCAATCATTTCTGGAAGTTCTTAGCCACAGGGTCCATTATATGATAGCTCTGTTTTTGCTCTGTTACTATTGCTAGAACAGATGGATGTACAGCCATTACCTGTGCCTTTAGTTCACTACTCTTCATATGAGATAGAAGTTACATCTTAGATTGGCAAACATGATCATATAGATCAAAAACATATGTATTATTGTGAGGGCCGCATTTCCTAGTACAAGCCCTAGAACATTCTCTTTTCTCCAGGACAGAAAGCACACATTGCTCTTCAAACATAGATATGGCCTCATAACACAGACCTCTTCATCTAAATCTGTCTGTCATGCAGCAGGCTCCTTGGTATATTAATATATATCCTGCATGCTTTGAGGTTGGCCTCCCAAGTACTTTTTTATTTAAGGATGAGTTGGCCTCTGGAATGAGCTTTTATGCTCAGTTCCAGACTGAGTTCCAGCTGCTATCACATTAGTGTTCAACAATTCTATTGTTGCTTGGGATCTGTACCACTGGAATAGATGAAGTTTAATACAACAAACACAGATAGTCCTAAATTACCAGAGAACATGTGTAACAGCCAAAACCAAAATAGTATTTCAAGGACATTGTGGCATACACAAAAGTCCATGTTATATATTATACATGGAAACCTATGCTAATTCACAGTACTGAGGGTAGTACAGGAAGGAAAAAAATTCTCTACCTCACCCCCTAATCAGGTCCTTAGAAAAGTTGGCACTAGCTCCTGTATACCTACAGGTAGGAAGAAACATATACACTGAACTAGTTACATCAGCAGCTAATAGCACTGCAGTTTTGCAACATATTTTCAAACTAATCCCGAGTGTTCTCCACTTTTCACCCCAGAGGCAGACACTCGGGATGGTGGGGTGGAAGCTGAAAATATCTAATATGCTATTAGTAAATGTTTTGCTAATTTATTTATCTGCCTTTAATTGCCTTTCTACATTTGAGAAAGCTATAACCTTATAGTCCTTTGTACACACACACATTACCTGCAAAAAGTTCTAATGTATTCCTGGTTAATCCTGATGAAGCCGGCACACTGCTGAAAGGTCTTTGGCCCCAGTCCTTTGACATCCTTGAGCTGTCCCCGATTGACAAATGGTCCATTCTTCTCCCGCCATTCAAGTATATTTTTAGCTCTAGTAGCATTCAGTCCTGCAATGTGTCTAAGAAGCAGAAAGGGAATAAAATGCCACCCCATACAGATATTAAATTATATATACTAATATTAAGCAAACCCTAATGTGGTGGAAGAAAATGCCATCAAGTTGCAGCCCAGCTAAGGTGACCCCAAAGGGTTTTCAAGGCAAGAGATGGTTTGCCATTTCCTACCTCTGCATAGCGACTCTGGATTTCCTTGGTGGTCTCCTATCCAAATACTAACTAGGGCCAACCCTCCTTATCTTCCAAGATTGGCCATCCAGATCAGGGTAAGCCTAATGTAAATGCACAATATGGCTCCTGTTGTTCTTGAAGACTGAAAATACTGGACTGAAGCGTAACCACTACACAACACATTTTTGACATTCATCTGCATGCTACCACTCACCCTATATAAAAGAGATTCAGTACTTCAATCTAGCTAGCCCTCTATTTATGCAAGTGGATGCCATAACAAGTTCGGGGTTTGGGTGGAAATATATATAGATGGAGTACCGTGTTATGTATTTTTTATTTGCAACCACTATCCTTACCTTTCTTCAGTTATCTTAAAGCCTTACCAAGAAGTCAAATAAATGTCTTTTGGTGTGATTCCAAAGTTATGAAAGGTAATCTATATGCAAGGTAATCTATAAGAGCATATTCAGTGCTTCCTCCCAGCCTAATTAAGGTATAGTGGTATTATAGACTTCTTATTCTCTTTTCCTCTTTTGGTTATTATTTAGGAATACCTTGTCCGCCCTAAAAACACACAGAAGACTGGAAGTAAATGAAAAAAATAAACATTTATTTATTTCCTTGGAAAGGGTTAAAGGTTTAGTATGATTTCTGGGCTTGAAAATATTTACAAACGTAACTCACGGCTTCAGCTGGGCACAAGACATTAGAAACAGTTCCAGATAACCTTCAAGGACCAGATCTCTTGGACCTAGGCCTACTGCTGGATAAGCAGGTGCCAGCTGTGGCCAGGAGTGCTTCTTACCAGTTTGGACTGGTTAGCCAGCTGCAGCCTATCCTGAGCAGAAAGGATCTGGCCAATGTGGTGCATTCCCTAGCTATCTCTAGATTAGATTACTTCATCACGCTCCATCTGGGGCTGCCCTTGAGAAGGGTTCAGAAACTTCAATTGGCACCAAATGCTACAGCCAGGATGTTGAGAGGAGTGGGTCATAGGGACCATATCACTCTGGTCTTGTTCTATCTATACTGGCTCCCAACTTGTTTCCAGGCACAATTCAAGGTGCTAGTCTTGACCTTCAAAGTCCAACATAACTGAAGGACCACCCACTCCCTTATGAACATTCCCGAGCACTATGGCCATCTTCAGACAGCTTGCTTCAGGTACCCCCACCTTCTGAGATTAGGCAAATGGCAACCTAGGAGAAGGCTTCTGGGTCATGGCATCAAAGCTCTGGAACTCTCTCCCCAGGGAAATTTGTTGGTTCAGTTGCTGTCTTTTTCCTTTCAATTGGCATTCCCCCAGCGATCATTCTTTCCTAACCAATATTTTAAGTGCTGTTTTTAGGTCTTTTAGCTGTATGTAGGCTGCGGTCATACGCAACATTAGCCACGCAAGAGATACGGAAGACAGGCGGAGTTTCCGGGCGCGATCTCACCAGCACATCTGGGGAGCGTAGCGCTTCTGTGGCACAACCGAGGCTTCCTCCCAAAACCGCGCAGCAAAAACTAGTACCTCGGAGGTACTAGTTTCCGGAAACTGCGGGGCAAGGGCGGGCGTCTGAGCGCGTTTCCGGTGGCATCCGGCTCCCGCCCATGTCCCCTTGTGAAAAAGGTTTTTTCCCCCCCAAGTCCCCGTGGTTGCGCACATGCACCCAACGGAGCATGCACATTCGTAGTGAACACAAAAAAAGAAAACTAGTTCGCCGCGCCGCGCGCTTCTTCGTTGCGCGCAGGCATGTGTTGTGATCGACGCCTCTCCGTAACCACAGAAGCGCCACGGTACCTCCACAGAACCTCCACAGGAGGTATGATCGCTTTACTGCGTGTTAGTTTGCCCCAGGGCAAACAGCCACGCTTCCCCCCCGCAGTTTCCTGCCCGTGTGACCGGGGCCTTATATTGGTTTTTGAATTTGCAGGGAATTAACACAGAATGTAGCTGAACCATAAAATGTAGATATTTTGTTTAATCTGTCCTATGATTTTAAGAATGCATAGGCCATTCAGTAATTTTAATATCGTATATTTCCTAAAATTGATAAGACTCATGTACATTGCTGTAATTGATCTTGTGCTGATCATGAACCATATTAATAAATTTGATTTGATTTGAATCTGTTTTTGGGAGGGGGTTGGTTTTTAATGGTTTTAAAATGTGGTTTTATCATGGATGTTTTAAATTGTTAGACACCTTGGTGATCCTTTTGAGGGCAGAAATGTGGGATATAAATTTTGTAAATAAATAACACAATATAATCTGAGAATAGTGAGCAAACAACAGCCAATATATGCCTTGAGAGAGAACTTATGAATGCCTGGACCCCAGACCACCAAATACCAAACTTGAGCTACCAGAGTACTTTGAAATGATACCACAATCTGTGCCTCTAGCTTTCTGCAACTGTGGAAGGCTAAAATTAAACACCAAGATTGAGTCTCTCCTGGACACCACACTTTTCAACCCTGCTTCCCCTGAAGACTGATTCTGAGACAAACACTATCCCCTGAGACAAAGGATTCTTTAAACTGCCTCACTGGTGGCTAAACCCTGTCTCATGAGAAAAAGATTCCCTAACCTCCTTCACCTGCAGCTAAACACTGTGTTTAACTGCTTTTTCATCCAATTCCTTCCTCCCATCTGCTCTGTCAAGGTTCCAAAGGCCCTGATTGGCTGTTACCAGCTCAGTAAATGTTCCAATCATGTTTAAAGGGGATTGGTAGCTTTCATATGCCCACACAAAGCTCAGTATAAACAAGGACTTCAACAGGACATTTACTTAAATTTCAAGAACTGCCACACATTTACCAATATCCAAGTGACTGTTTTATGTTCTGCTCTTACTTCACTCTCTAGCATGGCCAAGACCCAGAGTCCAGGGCAGGCCAAAGAAAAAAGGGTCACCTTGATTCTGAATGGATCTCAGTATATTTTGTATGGCGAGACCAATGGACTGTCCATGAATTAGAAGGAGGGGGCAAAATCTTTTTTTCATTCTAGCCACTGGTTTAAACAAGGACAGAGGGGAAATTTAGCCCTATTCTAGCAGGTGTAACAAGGATATGCTGGTGTATGAGACTGCAGAGACAATGAATGGGGAAAAGACTGGAACTCCTCTCTACGGTCAGATTTGATGAGCATTTGTAGGCTCGTTTGAGGGGTGTGGCAGGTTGAGCCTATGAAACCTGAAACGGAAGATTTTATTCACTTACCGTGAAGCTTCCTTCTCGGTGGTCCCAAAGTGGGTCAGTCCTTGATCCATTATGCCTGGGATTAGCCCCTCCCCTCCACTTGCAGGGCTGGCAAACTTTGATCCTGGAGGAGAGGGGCTTGTCCTCTGGATCCCCAGTCGTTCACCAAGCCGACCTTTCCCAACAACCTGTACAACACTGAATCAAATGAAAATCCCTGCCACCCAACCAGAAACTGGTTCGACCATCAGGTTTCCATCATCAACAGTAAACTTTATTTAAAGATCAACCAAGTCATACAGACTTAATTTTGAAATATACACTGTTCATGCAACAATCTTTCCTCATTACCAGAAGGCGCTCCCTCAATTGGGGCGGGTAGGACTGACCCACTCCGGGACCACTGAGAAGGAAGCTTCATGGTAAGTGAATAAAATCTTCCATTCTCCGGTGGTCTCAGTAGTGGGTCAGTTCTTGTCCCGGTCATGACCGGGCCCTCCCGGGACTACCGGGGGGGGGGAGGCTAATGAACACAACCCTTGCCCCAAGCCCAGCACCACTCCCCGAACTCACCTCGGCAGGGGAGACAATGGCCAGGAAGGCAGGGCAGCAACCGGAGGCTGAGGGAGACAACGGGCTCAGGCGGAGAAGCGGGGGCGCAAAAGCCTCGGTGGCGGCAAACACACTGGCAAGAAGCAGAGGCGAGGGACGAGCGTGGGCTCACCCGCAGCCTCCGGAGATGGACAGAGAGGAGGGAGGAGGGGTGGGGCAGAGAGCCCCGGTGTCAATGCCTTTACAGGGGGGCAGGGGCGGGAAGCAAGGAAAGCCGGGAGTCGAAGGGGGAATAAAAGAAGGGGTGAAGCGAGCCGATGAGGAGGCACTGGGCTGGCTGCAACTGTGGTCCTGCTGCTGAGGTGAGAGAGAGAATAAAGAGGGGACAACCGGCGGTTGGAAAGCCAGACCCCAGGAGGGTGGTGTAACCCTCTGCTTCGCCCGGTATCTGAGGCAAGCTTCCTCCTTGGAGATTCCCCATCTCGGCTCTGGCCACCCTGGTAACCCCACAGAGGGCCCTCTGCTGGGCAGAGTCAGCAGGACAGCACAGCGTCCGGTGGTTACCCTCTCCCTGAGGGCCGCAAGCGTGACAGTCCTTGATCCATTACGCCTGGGACTTAACAAAGCAGTACGACCCAGGGTGGGTCTAACGACTTCCGGTCCTTACAAAACATGCTTCAGCACCCTCCGGCCAAAGGCCGCCTCAGCCGAGGCCAACTTATCTATGCGGTAATGCCCTATACGATGCTGACGTGGCTGCCCCCCTCAAGGAGTGCGCAGTGACCCCCTCCGGTGGCACTAGACCCAGAGCCTTATAGGCCAGAATGATACATCCCTTAATCCACCTACTAATGGTGGAAGTGGAAATAGCCTCCCCCCATGCCTTTTTTCAAAAAGAAACAAATAAAGAATCCGTTTCCCTCCACCCCTTAGTTCTCTCCATATAAAAACTCCGGGCTCTGCAGACATCTAACCGATGCCAGACCTTTTCCTTCTCATGTTTGGGGTCTGGGCAAAATGAGGGAAGGACAATGTTCTTTGACCTATGAAAGGTTGAATTTACCTTAGGGATGAATGCCGGATCCGT